AGCTGTGAACCTAAGGGACTCGATGAATCTCGTCATAGATCAGAGCATGCCGCATCAAATGATGAAGAGTACGAAGTAAATACTAAATCCCTTCAATCATGTATATAGTATCGCATTGTGCGAAGATGCTTCTTCCCATCATCATATATACTCGAAGGACTACGATTTCCAATAAGATTATGACGTTAAGGTTGATATTTTGGAGTTTAAAGGAAGGCAACAACATCTCGATAAATTTAGCTCTAACACTGTTTGAACAATCCAATCCAATCCAAAGTGAAGTTAGTAGTGTCATCAAGTTTAAGAAGCATGCCTCCATTTAGCGGGAACACATCAAGACACAACAAGTTCATGGAGAAAGGAGTATAATCGCAGCTTGGATTATTGTTATATTGCATGCATTATTAATTGTCGGCATGTAATTATTGGGACTTGATAAGTTTGACTTGAATATTAGTTGTGGAACCTAACAAGTACAGCAGTAAGTTAAATGAATTCAACTCATTCATTAAACAAGCTTCAAAAGCAATTTCAAATGCATATCATTTACTTAACAAAATTAATTTTCATCAAATTTCAATAAATCAAAATCGATTTATACATTAACAACTCTATTTAAATGCACTTCTACGCACATGCATGTAATATTTGATCACGCTTGTATCTATTCTCTTATTGTCCTGTATCTAAAACTAAAGTAATGAAAGTGACTTGTCAAAATTAATATTGTCATCAGTCAACTGATCATCGATCTATCATCTATGTGTGTGTTTGTGTTGTGGGGGTTAGTGCATGCATGCATTAATGAGCTTTGAACAATAACTAAAGGTTGAAGGACTTAAAGATACACACACACACACATATACATATAAGAGGCGTATTTGTTGGGAAGCAGCAGTCGGCGTGACTGTCTTTAACATTTTTTGTCACCATTTAGTGATGGGACTAGACGATTTGCGGCGACATTAAACAGAGGGGATCACACAATAGTACTACTGATCTCAAATCTCAATTCAATTTCGAGCCTTATCTAACTAACAAATCTAGGAGTATTTCTGATGGCTAAATGACAAATAATATTCTGACATTTCTTACGAACACACTACTATGTCTTTTAAGCCAATCTTTTTTTCGTGTATATTAACTATAGTCCCACTCAATGATGATCACATTATAAGTATTTTCATATATATATATATATATAAAGTCCTTTTCATTGCAAGAACTTCTCGATAACATATATATATGTGTATATAATTTTCAAGCTGAATCTTATTGTGATACAACACAAGATAGGGACAGATCCAGAAACTCATGTTGGGGGAAGGAATACTGAAATTTTTTAATAATTTGAAAGAGAACAAAGCTAATATTTCATAAATATATATATCAAAATAACAAAAATGATGAGCATATCCCGAGATCATCCCTGATTCCAATGTGGAGATTCACAAGTGCAGGAGTTGAGATACTTTAAATGCAGTACAACACTTGATCCGAATCCGGGTTAACAGCAAATCTATTTTGTTGCAGATAATTTGGTCAATGAAGTCTCAATTCTTTTCACACTTTCTGAATCATGATCTGGTAATGCATGCAAAGATATTAATGTACAACAGTTGTATAATAAGCATATATATATGTACCATCAACATCTCACAGTGTTGCTTTTCCATAAAAGTTAGATTAGTACTGCCTTTCACTGAAAATAAGAAGATGCTCTGACAACCTCAAAATAACCAAGCAGATCTTATCACTATATTTATTTAATATACATAATAAAGAAGTAGTATGTGTATGTGTATGCGTATGTGTCTACGTATACAACTACTTATTATTTTTACCTACGGTGTTCCATTTGTGTTGTACGTGTTGCAAATGAATCAAGTTGTTTATTCATTATTTATAAAACATGGCTGACTTGAGTTTACAGGTCAAACTAAACGAGTAGAAATTGAATTACATTTTTAAACTTGTTGAGTGAATGAGTTTGAGCCTGAGATTTACAAACTGATGGTGTCACGCAACCAGATAAAGCTAATTACTTTGTAATTAGTAATCTTAAGCTCAAATCGTGAGGGTAAAAGGGTAAACTCAGTGCACAAATACACATTTTAACATGGCATGGAGAGGGCGTAAACTCGTGACTTTTAGAATCTAGTAGAGTAACTCTACCATTGCACCAAAACTAACCCTTTCAAACGTATGACTTCCGTATCACATTGAAGCAACTCTACCCTCGCGCCTAAGTGTCCTCAACGGTTAAGAATCACCAGATTTATTCAACTCAAGATCCAACTTGTAAAAATTTGTGTGTGAATGTGTGTGAGAGAGAGAGAGAGTAGGTGCTACTTGCACAGAGAATATTTAAAAAGGACAAAAATGTTGCTTTAGTGGGCTTGGACTTTAAGAATCAAGGGTCTATGGAGAAACTAGTAGGACTTAGGACTAACAGAAGAAGAAGACTATTCACACTTCCCAACTTGCTAAAACCAAACAAATCAGAACCAATAAGAAAAGGAATATCATGAATATCAAACACTATATATATAACACATTTATAGAATTCAAAAAGCGATTGTGGCACTATATGCTATATATATAGCATAGTGTGTTGTCCTCACCAATAAAGTCACCTCCAAGATCAGATAACGCAATCTTCCATTCATGCCCATATCTTCAAATAGACAATTGGGACCCCTTCTTATTTGACAATTTGATCTATTATGCACACATCATTTTATTTCTGTTGCTCTGTGTGTGTTTGTGTGTGTTTGTGTGTGTGTGTAGTGCCTAGCTTATTCATACACTTGTTTGAAAAATCAACATTATGACTGCCTATTAAAGCAATGTCAGCTCCACATTCAACATATATGATGTAAAACCTTGTAGAAAAAGTAACAATTAATTTTTAGTTCTTATAAGATATCACGAAATTGCCAATGAACACGAACAAAAAGCAGAGTTGAACAGTTTCATTTAATACGTCAATTTCATGCAAGTGAAATATAATCTGCATTTGACAGCTTTTTACGCGCAAATCGCTTTCAAGAATCAATATGAGATAGCATGAGATATCTTTTTACGCGCATGAAAAAGAAGGGCAAAGAATAGAAAGACGAATGTGATTGCTCTATATGAAATTGGAAGCATCTGTGAGTGTGAGAGATGATGGATGATGTATTTTTAGGAAAACTACAGGAGTCTCAAGTTCCCTAAAAACATAGCAGCCATGGAATCTCAAAGCAAAATAACAGTTCATCATTGAATGTGTTGTAGCTTTCTAGATCAAGATATATATCCAAAACAAAAAATAAATAAATAAAATAAAATAAAAATAATTCATCAAGTTACAGTAAAATTTAAAATGATATGAGGGGCATAGAGTGTCAATTATTGATGTAAATTGATCTTCTTCTTCTTTTCTTTTCTTTTTTTTTTCTTTTTTTTCACAGACAACTTGATCGACCTCATTTTTAGTCGCATGAAAATAACTAGAGATTTTTTTGGTGACCTTTCTTTTGTCACATAAATAGCTCAGGGAAATGGATGATGGTTCTATTAATGGGTTGTGTCATCGTTTAGTCCACTGGCCTAGACAGGCCCATTAATTTTTGGGTCCAACAAACCAATACAATGGGCCATGGGGTGTGGTCGAGCTTTCAGAATCGATTTCTCAAATCTCTATTTTTTAAACCTATGTCCAAATTAATAAGGGACCTATTTAATTGTTGTGCTGAATGGGGTGGCTCAATGCACAAAAATAAATAGCATGTTGCTGACCAGTAGCAATGGGACTTAGGCGGGCCGAAGGGTTAGCCTTCATCAAACCCAAGGTTCTAATATTGTAGTCCACACCAAGCCCAAATCCCGAGAAACTTATCATGTTACAACCTGCGTTTCTTGAATTTTTTGAATTTCTCAAGTCATTCCAAATGTTAATAACTTACTATCAAATAAATATTAAAAATAAATAAAATATTATATAAACCAGCCTAAAAGTAACAACAATCAACCAAACTATTTGTAACATGATCTTATGGTAATAATATGATCTCAAATCCATGATAGATGAAAGTGAAACTATAAAGAATCTATTTTAAAATATAAAAGTAATAAACTATTCTTATATTTTGAGTTCTTTGGATTACTAAAACATTTGTCCAAATTCCATCTAAAATAAATTTGAGCTCTAAAGTTTAAACCGAATCCCTTCCCACTTCCCACTTCCCACGGTCTCAAGTATCTTACCCACTCCCATAAACTTGTTGGGCAGGAATAGAATTGCTCCCATAAAATTGTCGGGCAGGAATCGAATTGCTCGGATTAGTCCTATGGTCCCACTCGTACTCACCAGCAATAGAAGAGTAGAAATGAAAGGGATATTCAAAATCAACTCAATTGTGTATTTAAAGTTCTTGTTAGAGGCATTAGCCACATGGGCCTAAATATCACCTCTAGTATGCGCTTTACTAGCAGACCCTATCTTCCACAGAGTATATATATCCTTTTACAAGAGTTGATGTACAAAATCTCGACTTGTATAGTTCAAATGTAAAGTATGGCACTGTAAAGTGTCGCACAATAAATTCATTGGAGGAAAGAGATGTTAATTCCCCAAGAGGGTTACAGTGAGTTCTTATCCTATGGCACTTAAGATTGTCCAAGTAGACATCAAGTTCCTCAAGTTTTTGGATCAAGCATTTTATGATGAGAGTTATAGTAGACACTAGACTCACATACACTTCATCCACGTTGGAACTCGAATCTAAAGGAATGAGAAATTCGCAATATACGATACTGTTTTTGAAGAACAATTGTCATTTCATTTTCTAAACAAAATAAACATGCTATATTAAATGCAAGAGCATAAGAGTAAGTGCAAATATCATCGCCCAATCAAAAAATTCACTGTTCATCAACTCTAATAACGAGGTAAATAGCTCTTATGCTGGAAAGGCTAGCAATAATGATGCCATCCCAACATGGAAATGGAAGTATAAACCAGATCAACAGGAATTTCTCACATTAATTGATTTAAAGCATCAACTATAATCAAAACAATAACGTACATGGCAGACTACAAAAGAACCTGAATACAGGTATTTGCCACGTTATTATTGGTACAACATGATTCCTCCAAACGGGGGAAACCATGAACCCATCATCGTCGTGTATCAAAGTCACTATTTCTTGGCAGAGATACGAGGATGAAATCAATTCAAAACCATCCTCTAAAGAATCAGAGGGTAAACTGCAAAAATATGAAGAACGCAAACAGATACTAATACGTCTTGAACAGAATACAATCCCCGCTGGCATTCAAATACCAATCCTACCAGGCATCGGAAATCCTACATTATTGATCCAACAAAAAAGAGTGCCGCTTTCTCAAAGTCTTGCAGGCGAAAGCATTGTATTTAGTCAACCATAATCGCAGCAGTTCACACCTTCGCAGGTTCAATGGCAGCAGGAGGAGCAGCGCCACCGGTAGTTGGCCTAAAAGGTCAAACAAAACCTCATTATTTCTAGATAAACAAGTATATTCAACTGTTAATTATAAGCAGAAACCGAGAATATCCATATATGTAGATTAAGATTATATAAAAAGGACATACATATAATATATATATACATATATATATATATATATGCAGAGGGAAAATCATATAACTAATACAGAATAAAGAAACTTACAGCCCAACAAAAACTTTGAAAGCATCATAGATACCCCACTGCGCTCCAGTAAGGGTTCCGATCATCACTATACGAAGAGGAAGGCCCCGGGTGAACAAACCCCACAAGCCTAGCTTCTTCACAGCCTGTAACACGCACATACAAATAAATATATAAACAAACATAGCGACTTTAAAGAAACAAAATAGAAATTACATATTAAAGTATAGGCATCTTTAACTCACATCACCAACAGTTGCCCCCTTGGCATTGTTGAGGAAAGAGACCAGATTATCGGCAGGATGTGATACAATCGCACAGAATACACCAGCCACGTATCCACCAGCAAAGCTCACCCCAAGCTGCAAGCCTTTGCTGCACTGCTCTTTCGGAGTTGGGATAGAATACTTGTAGAGCATCTCCACAATGGTCTCAAAAGAAGCAAACTTCATCATTGTATCTGTCAAATATCCATTCTTTATCATGAGAAGGCCTCCTAAGAAGGGAGTTGCCACTTGTAATTCTTATAATGAAAAAATCAGTGACATAAGAGTAGATAGAAGGCAAAGAAACAAAAAGCCCAGCCACTTACTCAAGTCCTTACTATAATTACGTCTCTTGTGCACCAAAATTTAGACAAACAATCATGCTCCAATTAATTATTAAATACTAAAGGATATTAGATCACATCAACTAGCTACTTATATAGATCCCACTTATTCAAATGCGAACCTTTGACAATTAAAGTCCATGCAAAGACTATGGAACAAACAGATTTGAAAACTAACAAAAACCTCTAAACTCTAATCATATCAACCATCCTTTTGAGTTGAGAGAATAGCAGAATGCATAGACACCGCAATTTCCAGTATATTGTATGTTCGACATATTACACAGCGAAGTAAAGGGGAATCTGAGACACAACAAGAACATTGTTTCTCATTCTCCACAATTTCAAACACATATATTGACCATTAGCAAGCGAACAAAATAAAATGAAGCAATATGCAGATAAGGACCTTTTCAGAAAGGTGGTTCAACTTGGGTGCAGCTAGAAAATCACACCAAGGATGATTTTCTGTACACATGCATTCAAATACATACACACAACTAGCATCCAAACCACAAGTGGGAGATGTGTAAGAACTTGCAGTACCGTGGATTGAAATTAGATTCCAGAAGACCTAGTTTCAGGTTGTATAAACTTAAAAAAATAATAATAATAAAATAAAATAAATTACAAATTGATAAGCATATAGACAATTTCCCTTTGGAAAGTACGAGGCTGATACCGCCGTTAGTAACTAACTAACACATTTTTAACTAATACAAGAGAAGATGTACCCATCAAACAACAGAGAGAGAACATAAAGCAGAAGTTAACCAAATATAAGATAAAAATGCACACCAAAAGAACTCTCTTTCTCTGCTGTTCTATATTACTATTCAATAGTCTAGGTTCCCAAATTCATATGGACCCGGCAACAATAATGACCATTACCACTGTTGACTGACTCTAAATGAGCAAACCCCAAATATATATCCACGCATTGAGAATATACATGCGTATCATGTATGATATATCAAAAAGAGAATATCTAATTTATTTTTTGAAATTTCCTTCTGGTTACTTTTTATGCAAATTGAATAAATAGGAAAAAATTAGCTGGGGTATGATATAGATTGGACTCTATATATATGTACACATACTAATTAATTGTGATTAACAAACACCATCTCTATGTAATTAATCTAACAGCACCCATCACTCTCTTTTTTGACAAATTTTGACTTCCGAAATAATTACAATGAAAAACACAAATTTGATTCATTGCTTGAAGTATGTAATTGAGTCAAATTTATGTGTATAATATATACACATAAAATATATATAAAGAGAAATAATATGTATACGGGAGAGAGAAGAATAGAACATAGAAGCTATATAGAGAGAGATTGGTTGTTACGGAGGTATGAGAGGGAGATGAGATAAAAGAAGAGGATAGAAGCTAGGGACTAGTAATAAAAGTCTGAAGGTCATTTTTGTCATTTCAGCAAGAGTGTCAACGTGGTAAATTAACCGGCAAGGTTTAACGTTATTTGTTCAATTAACTATGATGGGTGTAAGAGTGATTTTTTTTTCAAATGTTTAATCCAAGGCTAATAAACCCAAACCTTAGGGGAGGTCAGGGTAATTTACCCGTTATTTGTTTCACTTTTATTTTTTATTTTTATTTTGTGTGTGTGTGTGGTGGGTGGGGGAATGGGAGATACCCTCCACTCTAAATCATTTATAAATAGTTACCACAAATTCATCACCATGATTTGTACAGCGTTTAACCAGAAAATTACTTTGCAGGAAATGATTAATTAACAGGTCAACAGTATATAGAAGCAGCATGTAGAACAGGGGTAGCATGTAGAAAAGTATAATGATAAGCTATTGCAATAAACGGACAAATTAAATACGCTTCTATTTAGACAATCCCAAACAAGGTTAAAAAGGATATATCTCATCCAAAAACTAAGAAAGCCATATAATTGAGTAGAACAAATCAATAAAAACAAGAGAGCAACTGACCAAATATATCACTCTACACTCTACAACTTAGATATAAAATGCAATCATTGAAATATGTCAGCTTACATGGAATTTGCCGGCCCCAAAGTGGAACAATTCCCTTGTAAAGCCTGTCAAAGTAAGATAAAAATATATTTATACTTCCAAAATGAAGAGAAATCAAACATTACAAGATAATTAGAAACCTAAATTGTTTTAATATGAGAATCCTACCCAAGAGCACCTTCAGACTTAATAAACTTCGGAAGACCATCAGACAAACCTCTGGCAAACCCAGGCTGGGTCTGAACGCGAACCTTCACTGCCTCAAAGGGGCAGAGAGCAATATCAGCAATTACTTCAGCAGATGCAGATCCAGCGAGGTAAATCAATGTTTTGTATTTGGAAGAAAATTCTGGACCAGCAATGTCAGAGTAGTACTTTTTGAAGAATTCATAGAATCCAAACTTGCAAGCACCCTGTGCACTATAACCAAGCAAGGTTGGCACCCAACCCCTAAAGAAGCCTTTAACTCCCTGCTCCTTGAGCAAAATACCAAAACCAGAAGTAATGCTCTTGTACTTTGCAGGATCAATCTGAAAATTTGACAACAGCAACATCACTTTAATTGCTTCAACAATGAATAAATAATGGAAAATTTTTTGAAAAACCGAATGGCTACATTCTTTGAAGATTTTCACTGTTATTTGGGTTGATACCAAGATAATTTGCAATGGCAACATTTATGCTGACAAAATTAAATACTTGTATATCATATGACAAAACAACATAGAATATGTATATATGTCATGTAAGTCCATGTGTGTGTGTGTGTGTGTGTGTGTGTGTGTGTGTAGCAGAGGGGAAATGTGTGTGTGTGTAAAGCAGAAATCCAATTTCCACTTTAAGAAACAAAACGTGGAAATAGATATAAAATTGAAAACTGCAATGATGAAAAAATAATAATAAAAACAGATACCAAAAGTGAGTTAGAAATGTAAATAAGAAACTAAGATCAAACTTCAAATATACTAAATAGTCAAAAATGTATTGTTTGAAAGATAAATATAATGGTATATAAGAAATCCTGTAATAAGAGAGCACAAGACATATAACAGTTCTCGCTGAGCCAAAATGTAAACGTGATATTTAACAAAACTGAGAATGTGAACTGCTAACATTGCAACGTCAATATTCAAAGCCAAACCGAGTGATGCAATAAATGACGCAGCTCTAAATTCATTTTCTTAAACCCTCTCCAGAAATACATGTGCATAGAGTTATATAGCAATTAGTGATATAAAATGTATATACAATTACAAATATAACGATAAAATAACCAAAAAATTCGCATCATCCAATAGAGAACTACATCACATAGCAAACAGTCTCATATATTGTACAGAAGTATTTAAAAATCAACTCATGAATCCCTATACAACTTATTAGCAAAAGATCAATAAGTACCACAGATCTGGAACACATAACCGATCTTCAACTACAAGAGATCGTGAATTTCACATTAAATATCAAATTAATCAAACAAATCACCTAACAGTAACAATACATAACCATACATACATATATATTTATATGTAGAGAGAGAGGGAGAGAAGAAGAAGTGGAAATGGACCTGCATATTGCACTTGACCAGATCGAGAGGAGTGACCGCCATGTGAGTGAGACCACAGCTCATAATACCACCAGCGGTACAGGCGGCGTAGAACTGCGGCGAGTACATGGCGATCTTACCGGGCTCGCTCGGAGCTGGAATCACGAAACTCTTCCTCGATGAAGAGGATGGTGATGGTGAAACGGACGGCGAGGATGAAGAATGCAATATAGGGTTCCGATTCGTGGTCAGATTGTCCAAATCGATGAGGCTCTTTGAAGCTGACAACGAAGGAGTATAAAGGAAGGTTGGGATGAGAGATCTGCGAGATGGATCTGAGAACGCCATTGGAGGTGATTTCTAGGGTTACAGACTGTTTCTTTCTCTAGAATGCAAAGGAGATTTGTTGAGAGAGAAAGGACGGAGTAGTGCGAAAGGGCAAAGCTCGCCTCCCCCAGTCTCCCACTACAGCGGATCAGGAAATGTCTGCGTTTTCAAGGGTCAACCGCTCATTCGCGCAGCTTTATAGGGATATTACTCTACTATTTTGCCCCCATGTCCTCTCTAAATTACAAGCGTTTACCATTTCTTTTTCTTTTTTCGACATTCAACTGTTCATTGACTCGACTCTACCTGCCTTTTCTAGAAAGAATAATGGTATAATTGATTTTTAAATATCACACATGTTACACAATTACTTCAATGGTTTTAGTGCAATCTACTTTTAAAATTGGAGTTTTTTTTTATATAAAATTCAAGCGAAGTACAAATAGAAAAAAGTGAAGGGTAAATATTAATTTTCTTTTTCTTTTTCTCCTTTTTCTTTTTTTTTTTGGTTTAATTAGACTTGATTGCTAAATTGCATAAATAAATAAATACAAAATTAAGGCTCTATTTAGTATTGTTTTTCGTGTAAGCGTTTAAAAAAAACACTTATATCTGCATTTTGTTATTTTATTATCAAGCATGGTAATGCAAATATATTATACTGGACAGCTTGCTAATGTAAGCCGGGACGTAATATTCATCGGAAAATATTTTTATCAATGAAACTCTCTGTTCTCTCATGGCACGGACCTATGCGAACCGTCCAGGGAGGCTCCAACTCTGCGCCCGGTCAAATTTTTGATTTCTCTTCGGTCAGACGACTCACAACCTTCTGGGTTCTGTTTATTAATTTTCTTTATTTTTTACAAGCATTTTAGTTTATGGAGTGTCATTTAGGGTATGTTGGGTACAAAGAAAAGAAAAGAATAACATTAGTTAGGAGGAAAAAGAAAAGAGATAATGTTAATTACTTGTTGTACTTGATTAATAAAGGAAAAGAAAAAATAATAATAGTAATCATGTTTGGAAAAAAGAAAGGAAAGAAAATTAAGGTTATAAATTTACAATCATACCCTTTTTATAGAATTTTTCTCTTATAGATATAAGGTCAAATATGGTATTAATAAAATTTCATTAAAAATAGAGTTAAGTGCAGTAAATCCCCTAAACTTTCTTGTCTTTCTCAAGAAACCCCTGAACTATCTAAAAGACGTTTAACCCCCTGAACTATTACGTTTGTTGCAAATTATTCTAAACCGTTAACTTGCCATCTCATATTTAACGTTAAAAGGAGGCACGTGACCATGTGCCTTTGCCAAAATTTAGAATCCCAGATATACCCCCTTATGACTGTTGGACCATTATATATATATATACTCACACACACCTTATGATATATATTTGAACAAAAAAACCTTAAATTGAAAAAATAATAAAATCATTCACAGCAAAGAATTGTGAGAACCATGTTGAAGAAACCCCAAATTGAACAATATTGACTCTCTCTTTTTCCATCTGCATCTCTCTCTCTTTATGCATCTTCATTTTCATTTGCAAGAACCATATTCATTTTTATGTACCGTTTTCAGTTTATTTCCATCACATTCTCTTTCTTCCCGTGAAACAATCAAACCCACAACCACAATGTTGACTTGATCTCATCGAAGCTACTGATTGGAATGTTGGCGGAGGCGATCCCTTTCTGAGAACAGTGTTCTTTTTCTGAGCACTCTTCGAAGCAACAGAGCTAGCTTCTCTACCACCACAATGCTCTATCCTGTTAAAAATTCAAGTCCCCTTATCACCAACATAGTGTTCCTCTTTTCTGTCATTTTATTGTTCAACAAACCATCAACAAGATGATGGATATATATATATATATATATACACACACAAAAAATGAAAATCCCTAATTGATCACAATAACTCTCCAAGTGGATATGGGGATGCTATTTCCATCCCACAAATTTTATAGTGTTTTTCTCTCTCTGATTTTTCACTTAAACCCTACTTCTGCCACTCTGCCACCACCATTCAACCTTCAATTTGGGTTAGAAAAATTAAAACCCTCAAGTGATAATTTTTGTATAAGATGAAAAAAATCAAAACCCTAATTTTTCTATTGCAATACAAACTCCTCCATGAGAGAGACAATAAAATCTGAAGAAAAAAATTAATGGATGAAATCGATCATGATAGAAAAAGAGAGAATTGGGGAAGAGTCGAATGGTTACGACAGAATTCTCTTTGCAAGAAGTTAACAAGGAACAATTTGGTATATATATATATATATATGATGTAGTTTATGGGAGCTATTGGAAACGGAGGCATTAAAAATATAAATTTTGGACGAGATTCAGAATAAATTCCACTAATAATTTTTTGCGGATATCTATACGAGCGCGTTTTTCTCCGCAAGGAGATAAACATGGTATATTTACTTTCTCAAATCCGTTTCCGGATGAATGAGAAATTAGCTCCAAAGTGTGGTATTTTGATAAGCCTAAATGGGTATGCAAAATGTAGGAAGTATTTGTCTCACATGGAAAAAATGTTGAAACCAATTGAAATTTAAATAAGCCAAATTTGGGCTTGGGCTTGGGCTTGGGTTTGGGCCTAATTGTAAAGTCTAATTATTCTTTTTACTAAATGGAATCTTAGATTGGACCTTTAATTTTGGGTTGTGCTTATTTAAATGGATGGTTGGTTTTTAAATTTAAATTAAAAGTTAGTTTTTTTTTTTCCAAAGGGTTGCATCTATTTCTAAAGGGTTGTATCTGTTTTTCAAAGAGTTGCATCTGTTTCTGAAGGGTTACAACTCAAAACCAACAGACATAACTATTCATGTGAACCATTGCAACCTATTGGAGTAGATGTGTCGATTGGTGAACAGACATCATGTGAACCATTGCAACCAATTGGAGTGGATGTGCCCAGTGTGAAGAGACAAATATATATTTGGTTGTGTCCAATGATGAAGAGACAAACCCACCCGAAAAGGCACCTTGTTGCCTATAAATACCCCCATTTGGATCATTTGCAAATCATTCATTTTTATTTTCTTCTATCTCACTCTCTAGACTGGAACCCAACTCAAGTGGTTTCAAACCATAGGTTAAGTGATCTGAACCACTTAGACCCTAATCCAATTTCATCGAGCCATATTAAGATTGGTCCGAACCATTTGGTTCTGATTGCACTCAATTTAGCATTTATATAGTATAGATGCATTTTTTAGTTAGAGAAAGTATTACACGGAGAAGGTTTGCCATATCCACGAGTTTGTAGTGCTACTACCGGTGGATGTAAACCGTTGTATCCTGGGAGATAAACGCCACTGAGTCCGTTAGCACCATAACGGATCGAATCTGTCTTAAGGATATAGTATCCAATACTAGCCTCAGTCCAGGTTTTTTTTATTTATTATTATTATTTTTTTAATTTTTTTTTGCATATTTAATTAAATATAGAGTTGCATATTTAATTAATGATTTCTTAGCATATTGTTAATTATCTTATGACATATTAGTATAAGGTTTGTTATATCTTAAATGTCACATGAAGCATATATTTACCAACAATCTTAAGACAGATTCATTTCTTGCGTAGATTTTATTATATATTTCTATTTAAGATATAAACAAGTAGAGATTATACTAATAATTGAGATATAATAAAATACTATTATATACATTATTATATAATAATATGCTAAATATTGAATTATTTATATAATTCAATTATTTATATAATTCAATAGTGTTTGAATTATTTTTGTAATATGATATTATGTAATATATTATATTATCTTAAATGTATGCCAACTAGAAATGGAAAAAGGTACTTCGTTACTTTTTGCACAAGATACTGTTATGTATGTTTGCTGCAAAGTAAAGATGAAACCTTAGAAATGTTTAGCAAAAAGATCAAAACACTTGTTTAGAACATGATATCATTCATGAAAACATGATGAATGCTATATTAATAAATTCTTATTTAACTCAGAATTTGTGAGCGGAAGTTTTGTTTTCCGCAAATTATGTTCTCAATAAAATACCTTAAACTAATGTGACACCATATGAAAGGTCGAAAACTGTGATACCCCTCAGATCCGAGACACGGGTTGATCAGGCCCAGGCCCAAATCCGAGGGATATCAAACAATTAATATTTTAAAAACGAACACGGAATACAAAATGATTAAAGAAATAATATAATGAGCGGAAAGAAACTAAAATAAATCCTCAAATATAAATATTTAAATCTTGACAATCCAAACTCCATAGGTTTACAACTTGGGAATCCATCCATTGGACCCCTTATTAAAAGTTCTCAAACCGAAACTAGAAACTGAAATAACCGAAATAAAAACTAAAGCTAACATAAAGAAGATTCCTACATAGGCAGGGGAATGAATAACTGTATCTGCTCTTCACGTCCAAGCTCAAACCCTGGAACTGACGAACACCTGAAAAATGAAGAAGTGGGTCAGGCCCACATGCAAGTCCCGATCTACTACAATCTAAACAGTAATCCGATACGCAGATACAGCCTAGAAAGTCTCAACAATAACTAGAGTAGTCCATATATGTATAAGTACACACTATAGGACGCTCACTAGTCCAAAAAGGTCTGTCTCAGCCTGAATAGAGATACCATGCAAATCGCACATATTGTGGTTATGTGTATCTAGACCTACCAGGGAACAATACCTCTGTCCAGCTATCCATCCTAGGCAATATACGCGCCCTAACCCTAACCATGGTCATGAGACTCAACTCATACCACGGCACTATATAATATATATGTAAAGTCCGTACTCCTCCTAATACAAAATACCATCCATCTGTGTAGTGGTCTGATATATGTATAACAAATCTATCCTGGAACTATAGTGGATCATTCAATTCACAATTGATATGACACATGTAGGTGATGGACTTAATCTTTATGACTAATCCATACCTTATTCCAAATTAGGTAGAACTTAGTGTTTGAACTAGTCCATACCTAGTATGTCACCATCCCATACCGATACATACCATCCTCCAGTTAACATAGTTGACAAATCAATATAATTATTTATCAACTACTTCCGAGAATAAGCCTAAATATAGTTTATCATATAACCAATTCATGCATCCAAAATAAATCTTAGAATTCCAATTACAGTCCAATAAA